ATATATTTTATATATTACTTTTGTGTTATATATTATTTTTGTAGTTAATATATATTCATGCAGTCCATATAAGTTAAAGCATAGAGACAATGAAATAGACTAAGAAAATCACTCACAGAGATGCTTTTCACAGGGAACTACTCAGCAAGCTTGTGTATACTTCTGTGAAAATCTATTTCTGTTATGTGCCTATCTGTAGACTTTAAACTTACAGAATATATAGATTATTAAATTATAATTTTAAAAACTTAGTCATTTCATTCATTTATCCCCACTGATACAGAACTAGCTCCACAAATACTTGCTTAGTGAGGTTGTGGTTTAGATTCAAAATGTCCCCTAAGCCTCATGTGTTTGGAAGGTGATCAGATTATGGGGCTGCCATACACCTAAGTAGAATCAGCCCCTGATGAGCTCCATAGCTGAGTGCACTGTTAGGAGGCTCGTCTGGCTGGGTTGGGGTCACTGGGGGGTTGACCTGGAAGGGTGTACTCATCCCTGGCTCCTCACTCTGTTCTCTGACTCCTGACTGCCATTGTGGGGGGCACCCTTTCCTCCAGTGGGCCCATTGGCCACCCTCTTTGTGCCTTAGAGCCAGTCAGCCATGGGCTGAGACTGTGCCAAGACAAATTGCTCCTCTTTGAAGCTTTGGGGACTGGATACTTGGACTCAGCAAAGGGAAAGTGACTGAGACTGTGGCTGCTCCAACACAGTAGCAGAAAAAGTGTTGGAATAAAGTAGACATGAGCTCTACACTCTGGGATTTACTGGCTAGCGAGTGAACTTGAAATACCAATGTATTCAAAAATCTTTTTCTTTTATTTCATAGGCAAAAAATTAAAGCAAAATTTCACAATAAAATATTCAGAGAATAAGAATAGTTAATACATTACACATTGTTGCTTTCAGTCAGTTTCTCAGAGTATAGAATATGGGCATAGAAAATTCTCCAAAGGATACTATCACAAACATTTCCTTTTAATGAACTAAGAGATACTAACAGTATGATTGACCTGCATCTTTTCCCTTTTCCTTAGTGTCCTTTCCTGTAAACTGTTCCAATAGCTTGTTGGCCTATTTTGGCTCCCATACCATACCACTTTAATCATTGTAGGTTTAATCATCACTTTAATCATCATAATACATTTCCTATGTTAGAATAGGTACCTTTCTCTGGTGCTACATCTCATTACTGTCCTTGGTGCTGGTCCTAATTAATTAAATGCTAATTCTCACCATGGAATCAACGCCTCCATAGACCTATTGGTGCTAATTCAATTTTTTGTTCTTTAGTTGTGTCTGTTCGCATCATCCTTGAAACAGATTTTATTGTCCTAAGTGCCAATGTATCCCAGCCAGTGTACAATAAGCCAGTTAACTTTTTGACCTAAGTCCGTCTGTTTCCACTGTACTCTTTTATGATGTTCTAGTCTCAGCAAATGAGTGCTGACTTGCTGCTTGGTGCTAACAGCAGCCATCTTCCTGTGTTCCTCTCACTGTTCTTTGGTCCACTGCAGACCCTTCTCTGTGATGTGACAGCATGTCTCCATGTTGCTTTAAGTTCTCTGTATATAGCTTACCTCTGCCCAGTGTTTTCTAATATTTTATTTTAGAAATAAGACTTTAAAAAATAGCAGTAATACAATAATGTCCTTATGTTCTCAAAATATATTTTTCTCAGTAGATAAATATTTTCCTTGTTGTCCATGAATGTTGTCGTGTCCCTTTGAGCCTTAAAGACTCCAAATCTCATTATTTTATTTATTCAGAAAACATTTTTGTATGTTTATGTTGTACCAAGCAATGTTGTAAGTGCTGGGTCAGGCTGTCTATGACCTTGTCTTGCTTACACTTCAATTGTGTGTATAGGTAAGTAAGTGCAAAGCTTCATTAAGGAATTCTAGGTACTTAAGAATGGGACAGTGTGAAGGGTCAGAGAGCAACAGGGGTTGGGCAGGGTGTCATTTGAACACTCCAGGGTGCCTCAGTTCCTAGTCTATCTCTAAGGAGTGCTTGAATGTGAAGATCGGAAACTGAAATGATACATGCAGGGGAGTTCTAGCCTGTTCCACAAATTCAGATCACTGTATTTTGATGTTTATCAAATAATAAAATGGACTGACTCAGTTAATGAAGACAGGCCTCCAGAACTTGACCAATCCTTCTGTACATCAGCATTCTAAACCACATAGAAAGCATCATCTTTTTCAATCACTTCTTGACCTTTTGGCTAAGATCAAGTAAAAACACCATTTTTCACCTACACTTAAAAAAACACTCAGCTTATTTTTACACATGCTACATAATTTTCTGACCTGTAGTCAGACATGGTACCTATACACTGCTGGGATATACTTCATGGTGTTTAAGCCTCAAAGCAACTCTAGGGGAAAGTTATTATTCATCATGTATTGTGAGAAATAAAATTGAGACCCTGAGAAGCTAGGAAACTTCCTTATTATCACTCAGCAGGGGATAGAAGCTGGTCATGAATTGACATGACTTCAAAGCATGTGACTATCTCCACTCAAATGTCTACTCTCTGCTTATCTGTGGTATCAAATAAATGTGTGTTTGTGTGTGAAGTGTGCATGTACACAATATACATTTCCAGATGAATGGTTATTAAATTTTCACAATAATTTATGCTTAGTTTAGTCATTGTCTCAATTATTACATTAAGTATTTTTGTTTTATTCTTAGTTTTCATGTCATGGAAGGAAATATTCTTTTTCTGTAGTGTTTTTTTTCCATTCTCACATGTTTTTCCTCCATCAAAGTAGGGGATAAATTAATTCATATACTTCTTTTAAAATTACTTTCAAAAAATGTGAAGTCTTTTAAGCCTATTTAAATATCATCAGAAATTTTCTGCCTAATTCTCCCTAAAATGTTTACTTTCTTTCTACTTTTCCACATCTTTCATCATCATAATCTACAGCTGTCACATCCATCACATAGCTCATGGTTTTCTAACTTCTTCACTAATGATCTGCCCACATGGAAATCACATCTTCTGAAATTACACCATGTTGGAAATCTTTGAAGCTTATCCCGCTTTCTGTAATCACCACTGTCCTTAAATTTTAATTCTTAAAGTTTTTGTTGAAAAAAGACTGCATGTGCAAAAAGCCATTATTTTAGAAAACTGTATCAATAAATTAACCTAAGATAGAGTCATAATAATGATAACCTATCTGAACAGTTATCTGTAGGTTTGTAAATGATGGTGAAATGAAATACATTCATATGAATATCCTTCTTAAAGAAAAAAGTAGAAAAAGCTATGAGCTAAGAATAAAACCTTACTCTGGTGGATGAAACAAATCATTGTAGAAGCTGAAACAAACTGAAGAGGTCAAATATAATAACTCATGCTTTTTCATTGTTTGGAAGTGCCCAACTTTAGAAAGTTTAGTTTGGAAAACATCCAAACAGCTTCTATATAATTGTCCAATCACAGAACATTCTTACTCCAGTCATGGCGTCACCACGCTACTGCATTTCTGCTTGCTTCTTAACTTGTAAAGTACTTAATAGGGGGCAGTATTTTTTCAGCCGCATTCTTGGCCTGTGAAACATCCCTG